ACTGGCACTATCGGCCACACCCGTGAAACATTCACCAATCGACAACACGACATGACGCACATGCGCTTTGAGGATTTATTGATTTTATGCACCCAACTAAGAGATTTTACTTGTTAATAGAGTTCATAATAGTGCACAAAATTTGTGTAGCTCGTAGCCTATCTCTTTCTACAAAAACAGTGTTAGGTGGACTTGAGTTAACAACAAAGAAAGAAAGACCGTATATAAAATTGAAATGAGGAAAGGAGTCTTGGAAACGGAGGAGAAACCTGGTCAAAAGCAACAAATATTACCACTGCATATTATTTTTCATACTTTAGATTAGACTATGCAATTCATTCATTGCAAGTGTTATATTAATTGGTTTGTACTTGGATACATTAAATTATATGCTCCGATTACGGTTGAGCTGAGCTTATTTCCAACCTCGATTAAAGTGTAAAAAAGACAGTACATTTTGCGTAAATAACGCTTCCTAAAACAATGTCGCCCGCTCTCGCTCTTGTGTAAACGTGTTCCAGCCAGAAAATCCTATAGTTCTTTAAATCTGTAGGTTTTGCTTCGAGTCGTAATTAGTGGTGATAACAATAAACCAATTGCTGCTCGCAGCGATGAAGCAGCACAGGGACTAGACTAGCAATCCTGATTAAGTTCCGTAAGTTGAATTGCCTGTCGAATGCGTGCTATAATGTTTATTTCACAAAATAGTTTACAACATAATAATGAAGTCCCTGACTCCTGACCTAGGTATAATCTGTGTGACATTAGCCAGTGTCCTCTCCCAAATTTTGATAGAGCTTAGTCTATTTCATGCTTAGACTATGTAAACCAAAGGACATGTTGTACATGAATCATTTAGACGGTGAAAACATAAACATTTTATTGTCTTTGTTTAACTACTGCGCGCCGTCGTAAACCAAAAGAGATGGCACTACATTGATTTATGTCAAACACGGGAGTTGAAAATACGTAACGTCATCTTAAATGCCAACCATTGACTTATTGTAAGTCAATGATGCCAACAGTCCTCATTTTGCCATTTTCGTAGTACCCTTTGATAACCATTTCCGATTGTCAAAGGGAAGTACATCAAATGTATAAACCAATGTTTGGCCAAATGTTTTAGTGAATTATTCGCATGAATTGCAATGAAATGGACATAAATATTGACAGTGAGAACAATTTAGTATTGATAAAAATGCGTCGCTAAAGCATTAAGGGATGCGGCAGTAGAAAATCGGAAATCAACCGAATGTTACACTACACCAGCATGTGTTATTTTTCTGCCTATAAACATACAATAGCCCAAATATCTCATGTAATTAGACTCATTTAAGTAGTTTATTCATAAGTCTTACCGAATTTTGCTTTCGTTACTTTAGATTGCCTGTTTGTTAGTATATTTTGATGATTATGATAACGATTATTTTGAGATAGTGTTGTTCTAGTAAGCAGACATATTATCGATACTCTGTTATTAAAACAATTCACTACGAGGTGATTATTATTTCATTATTATTATTTTTTAAATTCACCTACAAATGAAAAAAGAAAGAAAGAATTGTTAGAAATTATAGGACTGCCGAACATAAACATTGGATCAAATACTATCTTAGTTTGTTCGCTCCATTTTGAAGTAAAATTTTAATAGAACTTTGAATGTAAATAGATTACATGATAATGGAATTCCATCGTTACATTTATTGGCAAATAACTTTGTATTTAATTTTGATTAAAATGGCTCATTACTTGCCTAGTAATAATAGCCTAGTATTAATCATACTTTGATTACAGTAAACTATACAAATTTGCAAACATAAAAAACAGTCTCAACATTCAAGCCATACATTTGCATTTCGATATTGCCTTATTTATGATTATGGTACAACAATGAATCCGCCATTTGTGTTGGACATTTTTGGATTAGGTAGGTACGATTATTCCGTAGATAAGGCAGCCCCTTTCCTTTATGTGAAATACCTAAGTCCAGTGTTGGGCGTCAATCAATTAAATTTCAATCAGATTAAAAAATAAATTCAATTGAAATCATCATCATCATTTTTTTAGGGGGTAGGTTAGGGGGTGGGTAAGCGGGTGGGCTGGGCGGTGGGTCAGGGTGTGGGTGATCGGGTGAGTGACCTAACCCCTCACCCCTAACCCATCCCCAACCCACACCTGACCCACACCCTAACCCACCCGACCCACTAACTTAACCCACCCGACACACCGACTTAACCCACCCGACCTACCAACTTAACCCACCCAACCCACCACTTAACCGACCCCCTAGCCGGCCCCCTAACCGACCCCCTAACCCACCCATTTAACTGACCCCCTAACCCATCCCCTGACCCAACCCTAACTTAACCCCCAACCTACCCCCGAAAACTCACTTAAAACTCAAAATTCGTGAAGTGATTAACGAAATAGACCCATCATTTTGTCAAAAAGTGATTAAAAACTTTCATGAAAGAATCGACATCTGTAACGGTGGTCATGGTGGACATTTATCAGATATCTTTTTTCATTAATAATTGCCAAACTTTACTTTTTTAATACAATAAAAAATTTTAATCTTGTCATCCAAATTTTTTTTTTTTTTTGGTTTACAAAACAAAGTTCTTGTTGAAAAATCCTTTATAATGAATAATAAAATTAATTAAAGAAAACAAAGTTTTTCTTTTCGAACACAATGGGTTTATAAATACTTCTTGAATGCCATGGTATTACTATAAGTATGGCAATGCGAACTTTTAAAAAGTAAAACTCACCATCTCTCTTTGTTACTTTGTGTTCATCATCTTGCCACGCAATTAACTTTCAACTTTGTCATGATACGAATTTCAAGTCTTGCTAAGACAGTTGTGTGATATTTTTTCAATATTGGGTCAGCACACACATTATTGTCTTTATTCCAAAACACGTACTTTCCATGACGCGCCAAAATTATATGTTACGTAACGTAGAATTGACGGCAGTATGTACAATACAGGAAACAAAATACTAGCCATTTATAACAAACCTAAACCAGAGCCTAGAAAAGTACATGCACTGAACTACAAGGAAACTAAACACCTTCCACGAGGAACATAGTAAAAATTATTTGTTCATACTATATGTACACAAATATCATAGGTCATGCTCATGTGTAAAAGATGGTGCATATTATATCTTTATTCTATGTAGCATATCTTTACATAATAATTTTTTAAATGTTATTTTTGTTTCTATATTCTTCTTTTTTTATAATATGAATTTCAGTTTCTGTATTTATAAATACAGAAACCTTAAGGGAATCACCCCGCTTATAGACGTGATCTCGGCTTGAGCCGGTCAAAAAAAGCTAAGTTGGAACACATTTACGTATTTAGTATTATGTACGTAAGTATTTGTTTATTTATTCTGAATTATAACCGTAGTTAATTTTGTGGGTGCAGTATTTGTTGTAATGGAATTCCCTACATTGAGAACAACATATTATTAATGTAGGCACATTCAGGCACTCAGACAGTTTAGACAATAATTTACCTCTTGGTTTTTTCACAAACATTATTTACACATTTGTATGACAGTAAATGCATTATATGCTTTATAAAATTGAAAAATTAAAATAATTAGACATCAAGACACATCCAGTAGCTATTGTCATTTTTAGACAATCAGACAATGTCAAAACAACATTTAAATTAAATGTTTTAGTTTTTTTTTATATTCCATTACTTGTCACTATGTTTGTTTAGGTTAACTCTGCACATTTTTTCGTGGTTTTTGTATTAGACTCTACATCTATTTGTTGGTAGGTCAATGCCATTGAAAACATGTAAAATATTGTTGAGTGTTGCCACATATACTGTTACTAAGTTAAAGTTTCTGTGCAAAGAATACTGTAGAAAATAGAAGAAAATCCAGACTTTATTGAAAATAATAAGAAATTTCCATATTACATTCTTGCTTTGTAAACAATAGGACATTCGGTAACTTTCATTTGATAACTGTATTCTGAATAACGTTTGTAGCCTTTGCAGGTCAAGAAGTTCAGGTAATCGTACAGGTGTGACGACATTTCGGTTTGGCTTTGAATATGACAGTTTGACGTTCGATTCAGGTGTTGTGAATAAAAATGAAAAGACACAGTACAATATAAAATCGAATCGGTCAACAACTTAGTTATTGCAAGGTTTTGAATCTACCCCTAAATCTTTTGTGCTCAAAGGAGCTCCAAAAAAATCTTTTCTATTTTCTACAAATAGGTGGACAATAAACTTATAAATAAACATAATTTATAGCAAGCTGCTTAATTTCGGTACTCTGTAGTTCATTACAGTGTTGCAAAACAATATGTTTGAAAATACATTGCCAATAAATTAAATAATATGTAGTTATTAGTTAGCACATTATAATTATAATTTGCATTTCAGTATTTTAAGCAATTTACGTTTAGAAAACTGCCCTCTGCACTTCTTTGCTATGTTTCATATCTATACAGGGTGTCCGGTAATGAATGTATCATACTGAAATGGCTTATAGCACAGCTTAAGACTGTTCCAAAAAAAATGCAAAAAAACATCTATCCCATGTAGTACCTAAGGAATGTTTGTTTTTCTTAAAAGTTAATTATTTTTATCTTATTTTAGGTTTTTGTGCACTATGACTACAAATGAATGAATTTTGAAATTTTGAAAATAAAAACTGTTCGCAGAGCAATGTACACTCATAAAAGTAATAAAAATCTAAAATAATTTACCACTCTTTGTCTAAACTTAATTTCATGGTCCATTATTGATATTATAGGACACTACCTATATCCTTATTTTCCCTTGGCTATGAGACAGACCTAACCTATAGACGCCAATAAATATTAACAATCGCTAGGCTACATCAATTAGCACATCGCAAACGCAAATTTAATACCTAATTTACAGCATCCGAAAAAGTTTAATAAAAGTAGAAACTTAGTAAGTTTAATGCCATAAAAATTCTATAAACTACTTTTTACTTACTATTTTTCGGCCGCACGAACGTGCTCCTGTGCTTCTTGTACCTTGCTGCTCATCTTTACGAACACTTACAACTTGAATTATCACACGCGGGATTTCTCTGGCGTACCTGCCAACCTGAAATCTTTAGCCAGACTAATAAAGATTCTAAGTCAAAATCAATAAAATCGACGACAAGTCTAACCATTCATTTTTTTTAGACAGGTAAATATTAGGGATGCATGATAAAATTCGATTTTTGAAGATCGATTCGAGAGTGTACGATCTAGCGATTTTTTGTATCGATTCTGTGCAATGCGATTCGAAGCGTAAGCAAATCGATGCAACATTAAGGTGAATCAAATCGTCTAGATCGTATTCATATATATGATATGAATACGATCTAGACGACGATTTGAACGAAATAATCATTGTGAACCTCGATTGAATAGTCAGGTTAATCCTATTATACATATATATTGGTCTGCAAGAAAAGCAGTTTGGCAACATTTAAATATTATAAATATACGATATTTTGACCGAATAGCTTTTCTTCGACTTTGGCGGTGCCTCCGGTTTTACCAACATTGCCTTATATGATGTATCCCTACCAGTCTGCTTCGATTTTTGGTACCTCAGTTCGTTAATACAGAACAACGGCGAAATAGACCAGGACGTTAAGAACATGATAAGTGAGGATGGATGAAAAGGAGACAGGTCGCAGGCACTATTTGCGAAAGGCATTCGCTCCTTACCTGACCTGTCGTACTGTATGGATCTGTATGGATGTTGGGTAATGATAAATTGAAGGCTGAGTCTAGTATTCCCGTGAGTGTCGATGGGGTATGCAATCCTGTCAATATTGCAAATATTTTTAAAAGTCACTTTGCCGTCCAGCCGTCTCTTGGGCATCCCAATCGGAAGTTTGACGACCTTAGGAATCGAAAGCTGAACATTTCAACAACATTTTTCACCAAAAACATAAAGTGTGCCATATGTAAAATGCGTGGTGGTAAGTCGTCAGGTCATGACGGGCTTAGCGTAGATCACTTGCGGCATGCACAACTCCAACGAGTAATCAGCTGTTATCCGTGCCGATTGTCAAAAGCAAGACTGGGGATGTATGAGACAGGTCCAATTATAGACCTATTTCGTCAGCTACGATAGTAGCAAAAGTGCTTGATAGTGTACTGAACTATTACTTATATAACTAAGATACTTATTTAAGCCGGCATGTAAAGTTACAGGATGCTCAGTTCGGATTTCGGCCCGGGCTGTCAACAGAAATTACTATTTTCAGCATGAAGCGCACTGTCAGGTATTACACTGATAGACAAACTCCCGTCTATGCCTGTTTTTTAGATCTCTCCAAGGCATTTGATTTGGTTTCGTATGACATCATATGGCGGAAACTAAATGATACTGGGCTGCCACCGGAGTTGGTATCTCTCTTTAGATTCTGGTACTTCAATCAGGAAAGCCGTGTGCGGTGGGCGGGTGAGTTCTCGGATCCATGGAGGATGGAATGCGAGGTGAGACATGTGGCTTGAGCTCACCCCTTCTATTCAATTTATATATGAATACGCTGATTGAGGCACCTGGCGGCAAGCATCTTGGTTGTTTTATTGACGACGTATGTGTCAATATTTTCAGTTACGCGGACGATATGGTGCTGCTGGCACCTTCAGTTAGCGCAATGAGAACGCTACTTAATATATGTGAGTCCTACGCGGAGTCACATGGTCTAGCTTACAATGTTAAATAGACAGTGTACATGGTCTTTAGGCGGGAAACAAGTGCCCTACTTTTGTACCACCCGCATTACTCAACGGTGTTACTCTTAAAAGAGTATTTCAATTTAAATACCTTGGGCATTTGGTGACCAAGGATCTTAGGGATGATGCAGATATGGAAAGGAAGCGCAGGGCATTGTCAGTTCCGGCGAACATGTTGGTTCGAAGGTTTGCTAGATGTACGGATACAGTGAAGATAACATTGTTTAAGGCATTTTGTACATCACTGTACAAATACTGTTCAACACTGTTGTAACACTGTTCAAATATACCCAAAAATCGTACAATGCTCTGCGAGTCCAACTTAATAATGCATTCAGGGCACTATTGCAGCTCCCGCGCTTTTGCAGCGCTTCGAGCATGTTCGCAGATACACGCGTGGACGGCTTTGATGCAGTCTGGCGAAAGAAAACTGCCTCGGTGTTGAACAGAATGCGCGGGAGCTGAAACGGCATCCTGAAAGCGACAGCTAATAGACCTTTTTGCCCGATGATGTATACACCCACACAGAGGCCAATTTCATTGTTAGTTATTAAGTATTAATCTAGGATAAACTCTACTAACATTAAACTGGACCTTAAATGTTGTCTGAAGTAAATAAATCATTACTATTATTATTATGAATGAAAAGGGAGGATGAACAAACTGTGCATGCAGCGGAAATGTTGAGATGGATGTGTGAAGTGACAAGAAGAATAAAATAAGAAATGAATATATCAGGAGAAGTTTGAAAGTGGCGCCGTGACGGAAAAGATGAGGAGTAATAGGTTAGCGTGGTATGAACATGTCATGCGAAAGGAAGAATGTCATGTGACGAGAAGAGTGTTAGGCAGAGGCACTTTACACGTGCGCCGCTTTGGTTAGTTTCGACTCATCTTAAAAGACCCTCGATTGCTGATTTGTTTTGGGATCGTAACTATAAATCCACGTTTCGGTTTCCCATCAAATTTGACGTCCCTTCGTTGAATCTGGTAAGAATGACATTGCACTCAGTCACATTGTGTGGGAGCCACCGAAAACACAGGTTTTTCACACCCAAATGTTTGTGTAGCATTGATTGTATTTGTCTCATGCTTATACCCAAAGATGCCCGAATCTCATGGTATGTCATATGCCTGTCTGTTTTGATCATACGGCGCACAGCATCGATGTTTTTGTTGTTCACAGCAATAAACGGGCGACCATCACGAAATTCGTCACTGAGATTCACACGACCGCGTTTGAATTCTGCAAACTAGCTATAAATAGTCGTCTTGCATGGTGCTTCATCGCCAAAAGTAGTTGAAGCCGTGCGAAGCTCCGCTGAGCTGTTGCATTACATTTAAAGTCGTAGAAAATCATAGTACGAAAATTTTCACGAGTTAAATCCATGGTGATGTAGACAACCAATTTCTAAAATGACGCCACAATGTAAAAAACAAGTGATAGTCAGATGAAACATATATATTTTACAGCCAAAGAATTCAATTTTCTAATGTTGTAATTACTTTTTAAGTATTGTTTATGTAAGTGGCTAGTTCCGGAAACTTATAGTGCGCCCTATGTAGATCAAAAGCAATATGATCGGATCTGTGGATCGAGTCAGAGGCATATGATCCACTAGAATCGAAAAAATCGATTCAATGCCATAAATCGTGCATCCCTAGTCCCTATTTATGGGGCATTGGCTAAAGGGAGTCAGCCAAAACAATACAGAAAAAAAGGTAAATCTGTAGTAATGCTTATTTGCTTTCGTGAAGATCACTTCTGCAACACACTACTACCAATGCAATAATATTATATAAAATAATTCAATGTAATTACACCGAAATTTAACTCTGAGACGGACTCGAGGTCCAAAAATGTACATAAACAATTATAAATCTGACAAACGAAAGTTGAGAGTAAGAAATAGCAGCAAATTCAAAAACTCTGCGTGTTGCAACCCTGATTGATCTGTGAAAAAAAAAATAATTTGATACTTGGACAGATTTTTAGTATGTAAATGGAACATGAATGGATGATTCCTAATACGATGTATATACGTAATATTTTCTTGCCAAAATGAAACCGCGGCCAAGAAACACATGCGGAATCATCGAAAGTACTTATCGACGAAATTTATATTTCTTTAAATTTAAACTACTCTCGTAGGCGCAGATACAATGTAAAAGCCGCAATATTATAATTTCACTAGTACAGCTTGGCAAAAAAGAGTATCACGCGGTGAAAACTGAAACTAAAAAAAGATATTTGTGGCAACACTATTAAAAATGTCAGTGGTGTCAAACACGGCCGGTAATCTACTTAAAGAAAACCGCTCGCAATAGCGGCCATCTTTTTTAATGAATAATGACATTTGTCATTTTTGTTTCCTTGCTGTGATTGGCTGCCGCAGGCGTAGGTAGCCTTTCCGCCATCTTGGGTAGTGATCGTAGTATTTTACACTTTGTTATTGTTTTGTTGTTTTCACCTTGTAGTGGCTTGTAGCTTGTTTGTACAGGTTCGGATCGAGTGAAGACGTGACGTGCTTATCTTCTCCGTTAATTCTGTATTGTGTGTTTGTATTTTGCTTCATACAAAATGTACGAGTGCTGTGTATGTAAAAGTTCACGACAGGACGCTATTTTACATCATTTTCCTCGCACTGAGAAAAGACTCATGAAGTGGTTAAAGTAACTAAATCGTGATAATCTGAAAAAGTTATCACCAGAAGAACTTTCAAACGTTTTTGTATGTCAAAAACACTTTGAAAAGAGGTTTATTACGCCGAAATTACGTCTCATAGGCAGTGCATATCCATCTTTGTTTACCGAAGACGAGATTTCCTCTGGAATACCATCACAGGACAATGCCGGTAAGTTTTAAGTACAGACTTTACTATAGCCTTCTAATCTCTACGTCCTAACAGACTTTTAATATGAGCTTAGCCCGTAGTTGCTTTGTAGAAATAAAATATTAATAACTATAACCGTCATCTAAGAAACAAATTCGCAATTGCCGACGTTGGTGTATCCAGTGTTAATAACTTATAACAATTTAAGTACTTACTTAATTTTAAAACTAAAGAAATAGTATTGAGTTTTCAATTGTTTGTTTATACCTGCATGTGTTAGTGTTTATACCCGGATGTGTCCTAGTTCGAAGGAATAACTTTTAATGTTATTAATATTAATTGTTTTATTTATTTTGCACTTACAGAAAACATGGATATTGATTTGGAGCATAGTTACTTGCGTAAAAGACACTTTGACCACACATACTTTCAAAGGGAACCACTAAAAGGTTAGTAATGCAGTTTGTATTACTGTAACATTTTCTAGTAAAACTGTTGAAATGGATTTATTGCATGTAAATTTATATTCTGACATATTGGCCCCTTTACTGGTTCGATATTATAGTATGCGATAACATAGTATACATAATGCTTGTTGCAAATAAATAACAAGTTATTATTTTCAACTATCACCTATCACATTTATTTAACTCTCACTCATAAACACACAGAATACCAAAATACCTACAGGAGAGACTTGCATAAAATTATAGTGTGTAATTTCTCACGTTTCAGAAGTAATTGCCTCTAGCTCCAGTGAGTCTCAGAATGTGCCTGGCCCATCGCAAATTCCACTGCCTAAACAGGACTTAGGTAATGGAATTTTTTTGTTGGACTCAAGTTATAAAGGATAGTTAAGGTTTTAACGGTGTGTCAACTTTTCATTTTTTACACAATTCTGAAGCAACTTGTACTTATAGACCATCAGTGAGTGTGGACAAATGGTGCTACAATCTCTCCCACAATACCTCGTTTATTGTAGATGTTAATTATGTATGTTTATTGTGATCTATTTTATAAACATCATCTATCTGTTTTATATGATGGAAACATCTTGTTTCTCAACAGTACCTAATTATTTTTCAGTTAATCCTGTAATCATTGAACCAGTGATGAATGAAGCATTTCAAGCCTCTGGTAAGTGATTTTGAATTATTATTGTTGTATTATTACCACATGAATATGTTTGCAATGAACCTTTATTTACTCCATGCTGGATATGCAGAGGTCCTGAGTTTGTTCCCAGTTCAGACATTAATTTTCTTTGTATTATGTAATCTAGTATATTCTTCTAATAACCTTATGTATAGTCGAAAATAAATGTTTGGTTTTTCTCTTTGCAACTGCTCATTCAACAAACTTGTAACATACAACATAATATGTAAGTGTGCAGCTGCATGTTGTTATAATGTTTTACATTCCATAGAACTTGACTTCATCATTCACTTTTGTGTTTTCCAGGCTTGGATACAGTCAGAATTGCTAAGGATCCGAAACCTATGAGAAGACGTTTAATCACGAAAGTAAAAGATTTGTCACCAACATGCAAAAGTATTTATAAAGAATACAAAAAGTCTAAACAGCAGGCCGATTTTCATCGAAGAGCTAAGAGAGCCCTTCAGTTTAATAAGAAAATGTTGTTCGAAAAATTAACAAATAAAATGAATCCTTATGCAAAAAACAACAACAACATAACAAATATTGAGTTGTTTTATTTATTTTATTTTATCGTATTATTTTATATAAATGAACTGGAACCCCTAACCACCTTTTTTTTTTTTAAAGTATGGATGTATACGTTCTGCTCCTTTGCAAGACAATATCGTCTACCTATTAAAAAAAAATGGAATGTCAGTCGACATTAGTATCACAGATTAAAAATAATTCTTACTACTGAAAAAAAAGTACTACAGTGAGCAGTCTGAACGTAGTTCACTAAGTAGTCTGTGGTGTCAAATAACCAGTAGCTTTTGTGTTATTGCTGTATGCGCTGAGCAATTTTATACGAAGTTCTGTAAATTCTCGTACGGTTGTTGCTTGTTTTGTTATTTAAAATGAACAAAACGATTCGTAGTAGTGGTAGAACAGTGATATACCAAGTTTTTTTACGATGTTTGGCTGAATCTCAAGCGGGACAAATTTTGTCTGAAATTAACAATGTTTATCAGAGAACAGCCGATATGACAGGTAGTTATGCAAATTATTCAATTATTATTACGTTCTACATGTCGAATTACGCACTTTGCACTACTTATAATATACAATTAACGAGTTTTTGTGTTTAGTTGACAAAATAGTAACTAAGGTTATGTTTACGTATCATTTATAAGTTGACTTAATATTTTTGATTCTTTCAAGACTTAAAATTCAAATAAATTGGTGTTTTTGTATATTTGTGTATGTTAAGTATTTATTTTAGGTAAATCTGTCAATACCATAAGAAAAATTGTTGAAGGAGGTGAAAAAAATAATGGCGTGTTTTCTACACCTGGTAAACATAGGAAAGGTCGACCAAAGAAAGATCTCGATGAATTTGACCTCTGCGCAATTAGACAAAAGGTTCATTTCTTCTACACGGTAAAAAAACAAGCATGTATTATATTTTATATTAATGCCACTTTCTTCAATAAAAAAACAGTATTATGTAATAAATAAAAACCTTTTTTTTTTTCTCAGGTGCCTACACTACGAAATTTATTACCTGTACTTAAAGAAGATTTGGGATTTAATGGAAGCCGTAAACATCTAAGAAAGATATTACATTCTCTGGGTTTCTCTTACAAAAAATGTAAAACAGACAGATCGGCACTAATGGAGAAGCCTAATATAGCAGCAAAGAGGGAACAATATTTAAAAATTATAATGCATAATAGAAATTTGCCTCAAGAACTCCAAAAACAAATTATTATTTTTTGTATGAAAGCTACGTACACTCATCTTACAAGCTTAAAAAATGTTGGCAATCAATTGAAGTTAGTATGTGTGACACAATATATCTAAAGGCAAAAGATATATTATTGTGCATGCTAGGAGTGAAAAGGGGTTTCTTCTAAATGCACTATTAATTTTCAGGGGCACAAACAAGAATGAAGATTACCATTCTGAAATGAATAGAGCAAATTTCACTAAATGGGTTACTGAGAAATTAATTCCCAATTTGACAGAGCCTTTCATTATTGTTATGGACAATGCTCCTTACCATTCGGTAGTCATCAATAAGGCCCCAACCAGTGCAACAAAAGTTGCTGATGTAAAGCTGTGGTTGCTACAAAACAATATACAATTTGATGAAATGATGCGTAAACCTGAATTGTTAATGCTTGTAAAACGCCACAAACCAGAGGCCTTTATGAAATTGACCAAATATTGGGGGATCATGGTCACACTGTGGTACGGCTGCCTCCATATCATTGTGACCTCAAACCTATTGAATTGATATGGGGAATTGCAAAACATAAAATTGCCTTTGTCAATGTAGGGTCCATTGACATAAAGGTAGGGATCTAGTTCACAATTCGTTTTTCTTAATGTTATTAAGTTGAACTCTTAATCAATAATATTTTTATTCCGACAGATGGCAGCTGAACAAGCATTCCAAGCGATTACTGCCGAAGATTGGAAAAATTCATCCAACATGTTATTAAAATTGAAAAAGAGTATTATGAAAGGGGTATGACTATGTAGGACGACATTGAAAAATTGGTTATTAACGTCAGAGATGAGAGCAGTAGCGAGAACACTTCAGATTCATGTGATTCAGATGAGTTTGTTATTGCCGGAACGTCTAGCCAAGATACAATAGAGTTTTCTGGGGTGGAATATCTCGATGAAAGTGTTTTGGAATCTGATTGATTTAAAATTTTATAAGTTTACGCGAATGTTAGACATCGAAGACGACCAACAGCTCATTCCGCCCCGTGACCATGAAGGAATCAGTCTTCGAAACGTCGGGAGTAAAATGAATCTAAAAAACCGCGATATTCTCCGAAAATTAGTATTTATTAAAAAAATTTAAATTGTTATTTTGTTTTATTAGAATAAATTGTACAAACAATAAATGGTTCATTTTCCCTTTTCTCCTATTTATTTTATTATAATTATTAAATCTGCTTTAATCTCCCTTAGTAAGAAGGAAAAAGGTCATTTAAATTATAAAAACAAATAATTCTGTCAGGGATCATAATTATGTTGCTATATAATATTATGTTGTTACTGTGGATGGATCGAGTCTGATGGTAATTGAAAATTAACTCTAAGGGCGCGTTTATTTGAGTTCACGTGTTTAGAAACCGAACTGTTATAACAAAATACGCTTTATTTATTTAGAATTCACATGTTAAATTCAGAATTTTCAAGAAACAAAAACTTCATCACATTACTGCTTGCCGACTTGGGTTCGTCCAGTTACTAAAATTATGCGAAGTTTATCTACAAAGAAACAAGTTGTTATTGCATTATTACTTATACAAATAATGCAAAGAAGAAAAAAAAGAGGTGAGATGATTTTGGGTTCATCCCATTTTGGAAATAAGAGAAGAGTTTGGAGAATTTCATACGAGGCTGGCTTAGCTTTTGTCCACTTGGCGACCGCGTGGACAACGTGCGGTTGTATTATTCCGAGAAATTTAAATGATGTTGCTACCAAGAAAGTTTTCGGGTCGTGTGTCTGGGCGCTAAAAGCCTTTAACAATAAATAAAAATAACAAGTATCTAAACATTTTTCGTCGTAGTATATCGGGTTGCCACATATTTGATCTAGGCGCCATCATTAAATCCATATTCCTTTTTGCCAAGCTAAAGTTTGATTTATGTGGGCACAGACCACATTATATGGGTTTGATAATTGCACGTACTTTTGTCAAGCGTCTTCATTTCATAGTATCACGGGACATTCATTAACATTATATATTTCCCTAGATGTATACAGTGACTTTGTGGATCAATGAGGTTTAGACAATTTCAGTACACGGTATACATCGTTTACTTGTAATACGGTTAAAAGTTACAGTATTGAAAATGTAATATTTAGTGATAATTACCCAGATTAAACTGATAATTAACTAGAGTAATTATAATGTCACTGAATGTTTAGTGAAAATAGAATGTCCTGTAATTTTGTATAAAATGGAGACATCACAATGTGTGACAATAACCTTGAGACATCTACTATGTATACAAACAAAAGAAATGTGTGAAGAAACAAATTCGTTTATAAATTCATCCAGAAACGACTCTTCAGCACCACTTGTTTCGCTTTCTCCTACATTTATCATAATTCTTTCTATATCATTTTCTGTTATATGGTTCCTTTGTTTGTATTTATTTTCTATGTGAACAACATTAAATCTATAGTTTTTTTCCAGTCCTCAGCCGTTATGCTTGCAAAGCATTCACTAATAAGGTTTTCTGTGTCAGCTGCAGAAATGTTGACATTCTTCTTTGCCACCTTTCTTTTAACTAAACTCCATATGAGCTCAATGGGGTTTAACTCGCAATGATATGGAGGTAGACGTGGAACTTCCTTCCACTTATGCTGGGAAGTTCATCAGCTTCATATACAGGGTCAGGATTGTGCATATTTACTAAGCACAAAAGTTCTGCTTTCGTATAATACTCTTCAAAGTGAATGTTGTTTGAACTGAGCCATTCTTTTATTTCAGGTTTAAGATTGGCAGTAGTTGGGGCTTTGTTCCTGCGAACAGTGTGATAATTGGCATTAACTATAACTATTACACTAGACTTATTCAACTTGGGTATAAGTTTTTGGGTAAGCCATTTAATAAAATTCTGTGAGTTCATGTCATGGTGATAGTCCACAGATTTTGATTTCATACTAAAAACCAGAGGAGTATTTGGCACATGACCATTTTCGTGTCCAGCATGCACAATTATGTATCTTTATCCCAGATGATATACTTTTTTGCTGCAATTTCTCGAAGATACCTATGCCTCCGTCAGCAATTAACATTCAAATAACAAGGAACATTCATTTTTATTTATCTAAAATTTATATTTTTAACTCTTATCCATTAGACAATAGGATATGT